AATAAATGACCTTGTCATGAAGTGTCAACCAACAAATACAGAAATGCTATACGTTTTTAAATAATTGCTATAGTCAAGAACAATTAAATTTAAATGCAAAAATATGTTATTGAAACTCAATAACCCAAATGAATAATAAAAAAAATGTACAGATAGAGAAGTTGCAAATATAAATTGAAGAGAAAAAAAAATAAAACAAAACAAAAAAAAAACAATAAATTAATGAATAATAAGTTGGAGCGGTTATTTTACACTTATGTAACCAGAATCACCAGTAGGTTGACATAAATTCAACAGGTTATGTCTAGTTAAGTTACCTATTTAATAGCTCATTTACCACACTGGGGGCAAGCAATGAATTATTCCCTGAAATACCGAGGTGATCACCGGGGTGTACAAATAGGGACAGAATGTACATAAACAATAATAATAAGTAGGATAACTAAAACTAGTACGATACCAAAATGTTCCAGGTAGTAGTAGTAGACACAATTAACCAGATTAGTCCTGGCTACTGGTTGTGGTTAAGTGGATTGAAGACTTGAGTAACCGTCCAATTACTTAGGCTGGTGTCTATTAGCCTTTTGGTTCAATTTAGGTTACAATTGAACGTCTATTGTGGTAACCGTGAGGTAAACTTGATGGTAAAGTATAACCCCTCGTGAAAGAACCCTAAGAGAAAAACTGTTATACACGCTGTATTGGTAATTGAACCAACAGCGAAGCACTTCATGAATAAATCGAATCAGAAAATGAAACTATAATGATTAGTTTCTAATAGCAAATTTACTTGATAAAAGACTATAGCTCTTGAAAATTATTTTAATAGAAAAATTGAACAATAATGAATTAATGAATCAAATTAGATGGAATCATAATAAAGCCTTGATATTAATTAAGAAAAATGTGCCTCGAATTTGCAAAAATTGTAATAAGGTTATGTTTTTTTTTTTTTTTTTTACCTGATGGAAATAGGGTCTGTTTGCCTCGAAAATCTCTGGAAATCTGGATCGAGGATTGGATTTCCTAGAGAGAGTGAGAATTCTCTACTCCTTAGGGCAGCTTTCAACTAAATTAAATTGAAAAAGTCAGAATCTACTATAGGAAAAAAACGTGTAAGCAGCTTACCACAATGGAGTTGTAAAAATCCGAATAAATCGGCGAAAATTATAACACTACGAAAACGTAAGGCAAAAAGGCAACTAAAATGTTATAATTTCAAATGAGAATTTAGGGTCGAAATCCCACAAAGGCGAAGACAATCTTCATAAAGACCCTAATTCTCCAACGTCCAGATGTGAAAAGAAATGTGTTACACATTCAATTAATAAGCCAACCTAAAGGGAGAAATTCAGACTCAGAGATGATTCAGAATAACGACAAACATCAACAATTAATCGATAGAATTTTTACTTACCAAAAATTGCACACAACAATATAAACCGAGAAAAATAACAACGGCTAATGAATTATGATATTAACAACAAATAATCATCCCATAAAACAATCAAAACTTGAAGAATACAAAATAGAGTAAGTGTTCCGTTTTCAAAATTAGAGGGCTCAAAGAAGAATCGACGATACTGAAAACATTACTAATCTACCGCTGGTTGACAGAAATTTTTGACAATCAAAAGTCAAAGAAACGAAATCAAAGGGTGCGTTCAAGATGTCTCAAAGATCAAAGAACCAATGCGCGACCCTGGGTTCGCTAGAATTTGCGCCGAGATCAATAGCGCTCCATAACCGGACAGAGTTAGTACGAACGGAGTAGTCTTACGGAACACAACCCACGAAATATTTTTGACACATGAATTATTTTTGTTATGAAACAGATGATCGAATTTAAACTTGGACTCAAAATATTGCTTTGTTTTGATTTCGAAATTGAATTAAAATATGGATTAAAATGAGGAAAAAACCATCACAGCAAATAGAATTTGACTATGGAAAATTAGAAAATTTACAGGATCTACAACCGTTGAGATTATTGATGAAATTTTATAGAGAAAATGTTGACAAATTTAAGGAAATCTTGAATATTAAATTGAAAGTAGGTAAGAATCATTTATGCAATTTTGGCCTGTTACAAGTCCTGCTCTGCTATTTTTCAGTTTTTCATCAAAATATGACACATGCATGACCTCCTAAAGACATATCAAAATATTACCAGCTTATGCAGTTAGGTCGATTTCGTTTTTTCATCTTTTTCCTCGATTTTCTCCGAAATTTTGACAGGCGCGTGAATAGATTGGACAATTTCAATTTACAAATCACGTGCCTGTCAAATTTTCGGAGCAAATCGACGAAAAAGATGACAAAAACGAACTTGGCCTTAATAATTAAGAAAACATTAAAAAAACACATGGGGACATTTTGTTGCTGGTTGTCGCAACCTGTTTATGTAAACAGAAACAAGAGCACAAGTTCCGTAAACATTCTGTCCACACCATGATTACTAATTCTTGTGAATGTTTCGTTGTGTTACAGCAACAGTAAACGCTGTGTCTACACTAGCAGTATGTGTTCCTAGTTTCAAAACAATGTGGTGCCACGACGATTTACACACACACAGCGACGAATGGCGTTTCCGATTGGTAGAGTGCGGAACTAAAGTTCATTTCACGAAACGAGATAGTGAAAGAAAACAAACTTTGACAGGTGAATCGAATTTTATTGGCTAGAAAAGGATTATACTCCGCCCTAGGCAGGACCGTCTTAGGTTGTTTTGTATTTCTCTTCTCTGCTGAATATATTTCCTAACGAATTTTTCAGCGGAATCTGTTGAACTTGATATTGTTTTAATCTAAATTGCTTACTTATTAACAATAACCCACCAAACACTATTCAAATAATTGTAAAATAGGTACTAGGAAATACGACATTAAATTTATAGACCCATATGACAACCTGTCATTAATAAATGTCATTAATTGTAATCCATATTTTTGCAGTCCTTCTCTGAATTTTTAAGCTCTGCCTGTTTGTTTACCTCTACTATCTCCGTTTCATGGAATGGACTTTAGTGCATTTTTTTCTATTTCTGTCTTTTTTTTTCTACAGGTCGAATAAAAGGATGCAAAATACACTCAGGGCGCACTGAATCTACCAATCACAAACGCCATTAGTTTCGAGTTTTGGGAACAAGCAAAAACGTGTCCACACTGATAAAAATTATGTTGGCAAACTCAAAATTTTTACCACTGTTCCTATATTTCCTTTGTTATTTGTCGCTAAATATGGAAACAAGCAACTCATAGGAACTTTTGTTGCTGCAACTGTAAACAATAAGCAACTTGAATAAACTTTTGTAAACATACAGAAACAAGTTCCAGGAACAAGCAACATAAAGACAATGGCTACGTTCACCAGAACCAAAACAGGTTGTAAACAGTTCACAAATACCAACAGAATACGTTGAGTAAACTCTTGGTTCTGCTGAACGATTCAACTTTTCAATGACAGAACGTCACCATCTGAATGTCATGTCACCACACAAAACACAGTGTTGAAAACATGCATGTGCAACTCATATGGCGCAATTTGTTTCGCTAAAAGCTTGCGACTACAGACGGCAGAGGCGCTGTCGTCCAATGCTGTTGTCAGATTTATATATAAAAAGTCATGAATATTGTTTATTTGTTTTAAAAAGCTTCCTACAATGGGAAAAAAAATTCGTGTACCTCTCTAACATATAATTGGTAGTACTACGATTTCAAATTACATTTCTTTTTCAAAAGAATATCCCATGCTTTTGACATGTGGCAGCGTCGCTTCACTTTTACTTTTTCATCATACTTTGACAAATTTTGACATATTCCATTTTTATTCAATAATTTGAATCAGAGATTGAAAATTTTCTCCGTTCAAAGCAAAATTGTTTCATCTTGTTGTGTGGCAATGTGTGAAAGCCGAGGGAACAGAGTAAAAATTCATCGAATTCCCAAAAATGATGAGCAGGTATGTTTCAACCCCGACATTACACCGAAATCGGGATTTTACCTCCTGTAATTTTACCACTGTAACTTTTCTTTCTATTTAGGTATTTATTTTATGCCTGCAAAACGTTTACAATCAAAAAATCTTATCCATTGTAGGGAACTATTATTGATTGGATTGATATCATACCATACTGTATAGTTAATAAAGTAATTCAAAATTGTTATTTTTGTATTTAATACATGGATTAATTAGTATGTAACTCTTCGGTATGTGATCAAGAGACTGTTTACCATAATTTTATTTCCAATACAAACATATTAGGTAAACTGTTTAGTGCTAGTGGCAATAAAAAATGATAAACGGGTCCTAAAGAAAAAAAATAAAATTCAAAAAGGAGCGCTTCCCGCGCTCTCAAGTTGCTGACTACACACGCGAGAGGGCGCTGTAATCAGGAACAAAATGTTTGTATGGAGTTGCCCATCTATATTATAGGTTCGAGAGAGTTTTGTATCCCTTATCTATGGTTGAAAATTTTAAACACTTTTAATTTATGCTTACAAAAATGGCGACTGTTTGCAAAATATGTTTGGATTCAAAAAAAATTCAACGTAGCATTCAGCAGAATAATCGCAAAGCGTTTACCAACGTTTGTATCTGGTGAACGTGGCCAAATGTTCTTTCGATGTAGACGTACACATCATTCTTGAAAAATAGTATATTGTGTATTTAGATGGAGAGAATGTGATTTTCCACCGAAATACACATACTATTTTTTCTGCGATCGGTTAAATACCTGTTAAATGTTTGTCTTTTGGTTCCAATTATTCAGCAGTACAAGAATCACTTTCCCGGCTTAGGCCGGAAAAGTGTTTCCCGTATTGTTATTCATCGATTCCTTAGCAACTATTGAAACATAATTAAAATACCAGAATATTGAGTTTTGCGACCTGTCAACCGGTCAAAAATGCTGACATTTCTTGTCAATCGCAGAAAAACGAAATATTATTATTTTTTAATAGGTAATTTTATATAATAAAAATTAATGTTTATTGATATTGGCAAGAGTTATAATTATTGAAATTAAGTAACAGCAACTACCCATCAGTTTCATATTCTGTAACTTTTACTTGTTGTTCTTTAATTAAACTTTCCTGTTCCTTATTAATTTTTGTAATTCGTTCTAAGGTGATATTTTTTTGTTCAACAACACCATGAAGTTCTTCAATAAGTTTTTTCATATCTTGTTTTTCTTTATCGTACATTTTCAGAATGTCTGACATAGTTTCATGTTCAATTTTGCAATCGCATTCTAATTGTTTAAATGAACTTCCAACACGTTCGTATCGATGGATAGTTGATTGCAATTCTTGATATTTATTTTTCAGGCCATTTTTTTCTTGGTTAGCTTTGTATAATTTTTCAGTTAGCTGGTCTATTTTTGACGCTGATTCTTTTAGTTCGTCTTCAATACTTTTAATTCGGGATTGATATGTTTTTTTTTCTTTTTTAGTTTTTGAAACTAATTTCATACATACAATATTAGCATCTGAAAGATCCTGAAAAAGAGGATATTTTGATTAACCATCTCATAGGTTTGCACCACACCGTTCCTGGCACAGTGACCCAGAAAATTAATCAAATATTATATTGTCAACAGACCACGGCTAATTGAATGAAATCAGCAAACAGATTGGAATGAGGAGAAAGCGATCGAGACTGTATAGTCTCATACATGAGTGATAAAAGACTGCTGATTGAGAAGTAACTGATTTATTCAATTAACTTGGATTGCTACTGCCGCAACTCAAAAACTGAAAAGGCCTCCTCTAAGATCTATCTAGCAATAGGCTAGGAAACTGGACTTCTCCTAATTCTGATGGTTTAATGGTTTACATTAAATTTCTTGATTTTTTTCACAATTCATGAGCTTTAATAATTCCAAGAAAATCTTCAAAAATTATCGAGAAGTGTACAAAACTGCTACAACGCTTTTTTTCTTCTACAAATTGCAACTTCTATATACTATGTTCTGACTATACCCAAACTATGGTTAGCTAGTTTCATAAATTTATGTGAAGAATTAAAGCGCTCACCATCATTGTAACAAGAGAACGATTCTAACAGATTTATTAAGGTATAGTCCGTTCATAGTCTATAGACTTTTTTGAGTCCGTGATTTGAGATTTTGGACGCTGGTTAGATTTTGGGGCCTCACTAGGGCCTTGAGTTAATCGTTTAAATTGAGCGCTGGTCGCCCAAGGCGACCCCCTAATTTTGCCCAATCAACGTCCAAATTCTCAGATCACGCACTCGAAAAAGTCTATAGACTTTATGAACGGGCTTTAGGTACTTACTTTTTTCAACTGCTTATTATTCCCTTTTTGTGTTAGTACTTCAACTGTAGAATCTAGAAGAGTATGTCTTAATGAAACAATACTCTGTTTCAGATAGTCATTATTTTCTTTAAAAATCGTACGATTTACATACAACATGTCTCTCTCCATTTCTTTATTGTTGATAATACTATTTTGTTCCTCTAACATTCCTGCCATTTTCAGATGCGACTCTTGTAAAGACCTGATTTTTTCGTCTTTTGCTTTAATACATTCGCAAAACATTTTTCTCTCTAACTCCACGGCTTTCAATGTCTTATGAACCTCAGTATTTAGGAGGTCAACTTTCTTATCATATTTAGAAACGATGGCTCTGGCGTCTGACAAGTCATTCCAGGATTTTTTTAACATTCTTTTATCGGCTTCCACAGCTTCCTTTTCACGGTTTAGCCTAAAATATTTCAAATGGAATTATTAAAAAAAAAAAGAAATACAATAGGTAATTACCAATCAATTTCTCGCTTCAGCCTTTCACATTCTTTCATGTTTGAATAATTAGCATATTCAACTGGTACTGATGGCCCTTTTATTGGGCAAGGTATTTCTATCTTTGGTCCTGACGACCTCATTTGATTTTGCAAAACGTGATGCAGCTGATGTTGCAGTTGTACAATTTCATCTTTCAGTTCATTAACAACTTTGTCCGTTTCCATAAGGCTTTTAGAAAACTAAAACAATACTGTCAACATATTTTTTCAAAAAGGGAACTTCAGATGTTTGTAAGGGTATATTACATACCTAGGTAGAGAAGTTGGTCATTATATGTAGGTACATAGACCTAACTACTAACGTACCTAGTAGTTAGGTCTATGGTAGGTATACCGAAGCTTATAATGCGCAAGGTATATATCGACTATCTTACCGAGGAATATATAGAATTTTCTCTACTACTACTAGTGGAAAATAAAAAAATTGATTTGTTAAAATATACTTATTTGAAATCATTGTCTTCAAATTATTTTTTCTAAATGCCTTGTCGAAAGTGCCACCGTCTATCAACAGTTTATGGTAGTTTTCAATGTACATACAGACCTGTTTTTTTTTTTTAAGTGGCAGTTGGATAACGCACATCTAACATGGGATTTTTTAGCTCTATGGATTTTGCCCATTTTTTGATATGTTGTAGAGCATTCTTAACAACCTTTAAATGGGACCAAATCTTGTACGTATTACGATCTTTGAGATATGAGCGTTGAAAGATGAACTTTTTTGCGTCTTTTTGTGTGGGAAGTATACGAAATACTGGTGTTACTGGTGTTTATCAGTCAAAATATTGACAGGTCAATGTTGGCCAATGTTGGCCTTAGCCTATGTTGACATTTGTTAGTGACGTAAAATATGTGAAGCTGTCAATATTTTGACTAATAAGCACCAGTAGCACCAGTATTTGGTATACTCTATAGACACAAAAAGTCGCAAAAAAGTTCATCTTTCAACGCTCATTTATCAAAGACCGTAATACGTAGAAGATTTGATCCCATTTCAAGGTTGTTAAGAAATAACTGCTCTACAACATATCAAAAAATGGGCAAAATTCATAGAGCACAAAAATCCTATGTTAGGTGTGCGTTATCCTTTTAAATTATCAGTTTTGAACATGAATACGGACGTTCACAAAATAAAAAAATCCCGTCTAACAATCATTAAATTATTAAGCATCGTTTCATAAGTAAATCTACAAAATTTTTCGAAAATCAGAAAATTCTTTCTATGAGAAAAACGGAGAAAAACGCACGAAACGCTCTCTGACGTCACAATGCGTAACGAGTTAGCGCGCGCGAGTACAGTGGCGCTACTTCCTACTTGGATCAGCTTTTTGTGATGTTGCTTTTGCGATTTTTGTTGGCAATAGATAATATTGATATTAATATTACTTTTATTATTATGGTTAGGTTTTAATTTAACGAGAAAGTCTGTTTAACATTTAACAAGTATTTTCGTGTCGATCTCTGTGTTAGGGTTTATCGAAATTAAGGTAGAAAAGGTACTATGGCTAAAATGGAAGAAGATTTTCAAAAGGCCGATTCCCATATTCTGCCAACTGTGGACGTTACCTACTATGGTATCAGAATTTTTGGTCGAGTGTCAAGACTTGAATCAAATCTGCCCCAGTCCAGTGGTGTAAAAGTAAAACAGACGTATTAGACATAGATATATAGTTGAATTTGAACAGTTATAGTGATATATATAGGTAGTTATTTACCTATAACAAGTGCGGAAAGTTATACTTTTCTTCACGCAACGGCATTAGCACGAACGAGGCGCCAGAGGAATTTGTGCAAGCCGCAACTGCGGAAAACATACTTTACGCTCGTGTTGGGCACATTTTTTCTACAAGCGAGATTTGCGTGCGAAAAGTACCATATTTACGCACTTCGTAGGAAAACACGCACGTAGGTACCACTTTTTTCGAAACGGTTTAACTTTGTTTGAGTCTCCCATCATTACACAAACACAGATAATTAGAGTGGATGAATCTTCTTGGGATAAAGCAACAGTCAGCAACACAATAAATTCAATGTATTGTTCGCCCAGCGGTTCTGAGTCTACGGAAGGAATTCGGACGTAAATGTACGATGTTGTCACATTTAATTATAAAAAAGCGAAAATACTAAGCATTAAGTATAGTTCATTTGAAAATCCATTTTTTAATACAAAATATACATAAAAATGATAAAACGCTAAATATTTTAACGTTGTTGTTCAATCTATTCTTATTTTAATACCTGATTTCTTCAATTTGGCCTATTGTAAAAGATAGACATTTTCTAAAGATTCCATCAGCTTTTGTCAATTTGGCAAGCATCCGGCCTGGATGAACCTGATTGGTGGAGTTTTTGGCATTATTGCCGTTGCCACGGGGAACCATGCGGTTGTCAATGGGCTAACATCACCTTACGTCTCGCTATTGGCTAAGGCTCCCGTCATTGTTTCCTCCCATCTTGGAATATCGATTTATATTGAAATATCCAGTGGCGGGGGTTTGGTTATTATCGATTTTCGTGTACGCGTTCCAAAAAGTTCCGCACGCAGCTGGGTATTTTATGAATGAAATCAGCCATTTTTTTTACAACTGATGCATTCCCCTTACCGTTGCCGCGTAGACTTTTAATCGCTGGGCAGACATTAAACTTGTAAACAAATCTCACCGACACGCCAGCTGATTATTCGTTCCGCACAGTGACGTCACATGCGCTACTCTCGCCACAAGGGGTCCTTTTGCTAGCCTCGCTAATTTCGTTTTTTTGTTTTCGATTTATCAGAAAAAAAAGGGTTTCTAGATGTTTTAACGCTTAATACGTGTTTTGTGGACCTAGAACCACCACTTTTTATTACAATTGAAAAATAGTGAACATTCCTATTGTAAAATTTATTTTGTGTGATAATCATTTTTATAACATAACATTCCACATTTATTGTTTGCCCAGCGGATCTGAGTCACGGAAGGAATTCGGACGTAAATGTGCCATGTTGTCACGTTTAATTATAAAAAAGCGAAAATACTTGGCATGAAGTATAGTTCATTTGAAAATCCATTTTTTAATAACAAAATATTGATAACAATAATAAAACGCTAAATATTTTAACGTGGCTGTTGGATCTATTCTTGTTTTAATCCTGATTTCTTCAATTTGGTTTATTGTAAAAAATAAACATTTTCTAAAGATACCATCAGCTTTTGACAATTTGGCAAGCATCCGGCCTGGATGGACCTGATTGGTGGAGTTTTTGGCAGGATCGCCGTTGCCATGGGGAACCATACGGTTGTCAATGAGTTAACGTCACCTAACATCTCGCTATTGGTCAGGGCTTACGTCATTTTATCCTCCCATCTTGGAATATCGATTTATATTGAAATATCCAGTGGCGGAGGTTTGGTCATTGTCGATTTTCGTGTACGAGTTGCAATACGATAACACTTCCAAAAAGTTCCGCACGCAGCTGGGTATTTTATGAATGAAATCAGCCATTTTTTTTTACAACTGCATTCCCCTTACCGTTGCCCCGTAGACACAGATTCGCTGGGCAGACATTACTTATATGTAGGTAGGTAGGTACTATATGATTTATTTAAGTCAATTGGTACTAAAGAGAGAAATAGCATCCAAACCTATTGAGACATAATTATTAGGAACTTATGATTTTACCTACTTTATTAATTAATTTTTATACATAAATTCCGAAAGCTAAGTAGGTATATTGTAGAAAAGTTCAACTATTTAGTACAAATTTATTTTTTTGTCTTTCTATCATTTTGTGATACATTTAAAAAGAAAAAAAAAATTAGGTGACCCGTATTTTTCATTTTTGTCAAGTCGTCTCGCCGAGGACCTCCTTTTTTCGTTGTTACAGAAACCTGAAATTTGCCCCTAGGTAATTTTTTTATTTTATTTCATAGAACCTTCTTGTATGAGAATCACTAAGTTTTGTATACAGGGGTGTAATGATAATATGTGGAATCGCCTCTTGAATTTTTGGTGGACCACCTTGTCTTTGGAGACTCAAAACTTTGGTTGGGCAACGGAATTTCTTGAAAAAATTATTTTTCCGTTAGGAATTCAATTTAGTTTTTTTTTTTTTTTTGTAATTGTTTTTCAAACACAATGTTTTCGGAAATGGCAGAATGTGATCATATGCATATCGAGATTTGAATGAAATTCTACGTGTTAATCGTAACATTACGAAATTTGTCTCGAAGAATCCAAATTTTGTTAGATTCATTTTCGTAAGCTCTGTATATTACAGAGCATGTATATTTTTAACCTATCTAAAATGCCGGTTTTCCAGCAAACGGACAAAACGAAAACAAAACCCAAACTTGTGTTAAATAAAACAAATCTCAAACTTTTCCCCAACATTTTCAAGACTAGCGTGTTTCGAGACAGTTGGAGTCTGGTATTCTGGGTCCCGCTCGGAAGCGGTAAACATCAAAGGCTTTCGACGTGTTTTGAATGTTGAGCACAGACTCGAGTCTGTTTAGTGAGTTTTTTTTTATTTAAAAACGGTCTCGTGTTTTGTCTGGTTTTTTATTTTCGACTTGATTTTATTTTTATAGTCTGTATCTAAACATATTGATGGTTGGACGACAAACAACCAGTGGAAAGGGACCGAGAAAACAAAACGTAGTCCGCTTGATGGAAACAAAATTTTTGTGTTTATTTCAGTTTTCTTTTTGTTTTAAAACATAGACAAAACACAATAGTACGGGATACGATGCCTATTTCATCAAATCATTTTACACCGTCTTGCATTCTTATCATCAGTTAGATAACATGGTGCTGAAACGCACTTGCGCAGGGAAATAGATGGGAGGGGGGGATTTTGCTGATAAAAATGTTTGAGAAAATGTCGTCATAAATGAGGAAAATATATACCTAATTATACACCGTCTTGCATTCACTTATTAGGGTAATTCGTAAACAAACAAAATTGGATTAACCTATGCAAGACGTTTTCATGGGGGTTTTGGGGTAGTAATATTAGATAGAAATTGTCAATTTTTGAGAGGGATGAAATATCATTTCACACCACTCCATTGTGGATTTAGATTAGAGCTTGAATGTAGAATGGATAGTGATGGATACTGATGCAAGACGTCCTGTGGAGGCATAACGGGCTGCAAGACGGAGGTCAATGCGTTGTCTTATGAGGGAGTGAGAAATCATTT